CTACTTTCTGATGGATGTTGCAAATTTAGCAAAAGTGTCTCGTGAAACATGCTTGGCACTGTGGAAGGAGCTACATAGTGCTGTAATGCCTGCGGATGCATTTTGGAGTGCACACAACACTCGTATTTTTTTGCTGTGTTTTGCTGTGTTCCAGTACAGTACCATTTTTTCCTGCATGCAAAACCTGGAACTGACTGCATTGGTGTACTAGGTCCATTTGAATACATGGAAAACGCTGTGCATGCATTTTTGATGAAGAAAAAAGGCTCTGGACAGCATCAGGATATGGAGCAGCCCAAAATCGTAAACGCGGTTACAAGTGTTTGGCGTTTGAAACGCCGGTAAACTCGACTCCTGAATGTGATTTTTGTGCTTTCAAAAAAATGCCTGTAACCTAAACTGCCTGTAAATGACTGTGTAAATGGACACATAGGAAAACACATAGCTGCTGTTTTCGTTTTGTTGGCTATTGACGTTTTTTCCTACAGCTAGTAAACCCCCCAGCATGTTATCCTATGTGTCCATGCACACATAGACTGGAATCAATGTTTTTTAGCAGGGATGTTTTTTGGCAGAAAAAAGCCAATGCTGCCACCAATGTCCACGAAAAACAGTTGTTTTTCGTGGATTTTCCAGCATGACCGATAAAAATAAATGAGAATATCCGCAAAAAATGGCTGATGGGCTGGCCCTACTAACAGTATGAATATCAGCTGATTTTTCGTGCGGACGACAATACAGCCGATAAACAACCTGTCTATGGCCAGCATAAGGCTCCATGCAAAACGGGGTGTTTTGCTACGTTTGTGTTTTTAGTGGTTTTTTTTACCCCCAAAAATGTTTTGGGGTCAAAAACTCTGGTTTGCAGCGGTTTACCGTGATTTACCACCTTTTGCCATGTTTTTCAGCATTAGAGCGTTTTTACAGCTAAAAAAAACACCTCTAGAACCCCACTAGTCCTGGATTTTTTTTCCAGCCAAAAAAACATCCCTGCCAAAAAACGCTGATTACAGTCTTTGTGCGCATGGACACACAGAATAACATGCTGGGGGGTTTACTAGCTGTAGAAAAAAAAGTCAAAAACAGCAGCTGTAAAAACATCCAGTATGCATGAGGACTAAAAACACTCTAATGCTGAAAACGAGGCAAAATGCCGCAAACTGGAGTTTTTGGACTTTTTTTGACCCCCACAAAAATTTTTTTGTAAAAAAAATGCTAGAAACGCAAACGTGGAAAAAAAAACGCTAAACACAGAAAAACACTGCTAAACGCTAATGCACAAATGCTAAAAAAAAAAAGCTGAAAAACTCCCATTTTTAACGTAACTTTACACAGCTAACATTACCAGCGTTATGAAAATGCTCCGTGTGCATGGAGCCTAATGCCCTGTACACACGATGAGAATCTCGGACGAACGATCGGCCATTTTTTTTTTGCCTGCTAGTTTCACATCGAAAGTGAAAAGGTTATTAAAGATTCCTAGATTGTAAGCTCCAAGGAGCAGGGCCCTCCTATCCAGGGATGGACTGACCATTTGAAAACTCGGGTACTGCCCAAGGGCCCGGGGTCAGTAGGGGGCCCCATGAGATGCCACTGGTACCTTTTCCATAGGCTTTTTTGAGTTTGGGCAAGGACACAGGGGCCCCATGATCCCCTATTGCCCAGGGGCCCCATGAGTTGTCAGTCCGCCCCTGCTCCTATCCCTCTTGTATTGAACTGTATTGTTGCTGTATTGTCTACCTTTATATTGTAAAGCGCTGAGCAAACTGTTGGCGCTATATAAATCCTGTATAATAATAATAATAAAAATACGAAAATTCTCCTATGAAAGAAAAGAATTTTGAAAGTGTTGTCATGTATTGTGTTGTATTTGTATTGTATTTTCAGACGACTACTGTACTGATTAAACAAAAATCGTACGATCTGGTATCGTACGAGAAACATTTTTGCGCTTGTCCCTTCGGATATTGTTGTATGAATTGTTGTGATCGGCTCTCAAAAGCTGTGTACAGGGGCGGACTGACAACTCATGGGGCCCCCGGGCAATAGGGGATCATGGGGCCCCTGTGTCCTTGCCCAAACTCAAAAAAGCCTATGAAAAAGGTACCAGGGGCATCTCATGGGGCCCCCTACTGACCCCTGCCCCTCGGGCAGTGTCCGAGTTTCCAAATGGTCAGTCCGCCCCTGGCTGTGTACTAACAATCTGATTATCGGACGATTGGTCCTCGTATGAAAATTTTCAGACGATTTTTTTATAGTGTGTACCAGGGGCGGACTGACCATTCGAGCACAAGGGCACTGCCCAAGAGCCCGGGGTCAGTAGGGGGCCCCATGAGATGCCCCTGGTACCTTTCGTTGGCTTTTTTATAGGCTTTTTTGGGTATGGGCAAGGACACGGGGGCCCCATGATCCCCTATTGCCCGGGGGCCCCATGAGTTGTCAGTCCGCCTCTGGTGTGTACAGGGCATACGGGAGAGTTCAGAGGCTGCTGCAAAAAAATGCACAAATGCTCCAGATCTGGAGTTTAGCAGCTGCAGTGTACAAGAGAAGCAAGGCAGTGCCATTGGCTGTAGAGGTGCCAGCAGACGCCTATTAGCATTGCATGGGCACTGAGCAGGTTCAGCGGTAAGTTCCTCCGTACAGTAGGTGGCGATCATCCCCAGGTCTGTGAGGGGAGTGGTGGGTAACAGTAGGGGTAGGGGTGCTTCATCTATTCTGCGATCCTGATTGATATCACAGTGTTGATAGGGAGCTGTGCTGACAGCGCTGTGATCGGACGATCCCCTTCCAGGTAAGATCCGGGGATGTATCATGGATGGATGGAGGGGAGAGGGCGCTCTGCAGTGCTGCGTGATCCGTCCTCGTGTGTCATACATAGGAAGGGGCTGAGCACACACATCTGCTGCTTTGTTTGTGGTCGGGTTGTCTTGGATCCGATGATGCAGGCCCATCTATAGGGCTCCATCCAGATGTCGTTGTTCCCCTACACCTGGAATATCCATGTATGATCGGGTCTAGGACACAGAAATCATGGAAAGGAGCAGGTCTGCCTGTCATCTCTACTCTGCAGCTTTCATGTTTTCTAAACTGTTACGGTGTAAACATCGTATTATATTCCAAGCACTTTGATAACATCCAAACAAATCATTGGAGGTGGACACCGTCACCCACACACATCACAATTTCTTTCCTCTCACCTCCTTAACCCTTTCGCTGCCAGAGCCGGTTTTTTGCATTTTTTTTTTTTGCACACTTTTAAAAAAATAATTTTAGGTCTGAAGATTACACAAAACGTGATCTATTTTCTGAAAGCAGCCGCCCTAGAGAATAAAATTGTGTTAGTTCCAGTTTTTTTTATAGCACAATATTATTGCAGGGGTCTAGGAAACGCAACATTTCAGTAAAAAAAAGAAACAAGTGGATTTTAGGGAAACACACAAAATAAATGACTCACATTTTTGACAAGGTTGCTCCGAGTACATAGATGCCCAATATGCCAAACCTTAAATTTGTGTGAGCCTATGAAATGGTGACTGACTTCAGTACTCTATAGTTTCTAAAGGCGACACTTCAAAAGCCCCCTGTAGGTCATCAGTTTCGTGTTATGGAGGAGGTCTGGTGCTAGAATTATTGCTCTCCCTTCGGTGAGCACGGCGATATGTGACATGTGTATCGCAATAGACAATTTTACACATAGGCACCCTGATGGGTGTGTTTACATTTGTATATGCAAGTATGTGGGGTGGGGGGGTCTTAACATTTTTTTGGGGAGGTGATATTATGTGTTTGAATGGAACTTTATTTTTTTGCACTTTTTTTACATAACTTTTTTTTCATCACATTGGGGACACAAAGTCCCTTATGTGATTAATTTTAGGTGACAGGTCCTCTTTAATGAAACGTACAGGGTCTGAAAGTCTCTGGATGTCTCCTGGATGTATTGCAGTGCAGAGCACATTGCAATACATCTCTCCCCAGCTAGAATAGTGACAGCCATGACCCAGAAGTGATGTCATACACTGGCTTCTGTCACTTCTGGGTCACAGAAAGATATACCTGCCGGGTGCTCCCCAGGCCCATAGATGGGCAAGCAGAGCCCAGATACCTGGCGGGAGCACTTGTGCTGCGGGGGACACTAGTGGAAGCAGGCGGCAGAGCAGCCATCTGACTGCTTCCAGCTAACAGGCAGGAGTCTGCCTGTCAGTTTTAAACACAATCCCGGTGGCTGCAGTAAATATGCTTGTTATACTCCCTATGGCTCCTAAGGGGTTATTCCTCTGCATTGTGTTAAAAGGCTGTTTGATCCCGTCTTCTCTGATCTTCCCCTTCTTTTGCTGTCCCCAATCTATCTGCTGATTTTACAGAGCCCTAGGAATCATTCTGCACATTCTCTGTTTGGTGTGTATTGCTAGAGAGTTTTTTTTCTTTGAGGGAGTGCATGTGATCAGCACTGTACAGGTCATGCAGCCTCATAGGACAGACAGAGCAGAATGAAAACTCCTCCTACAAGATTAACCAAATGCATTCAGATGCGTAAAGCACTTAGATGTTTGTTTATTTCATTGGCCAGCATATTAATGTATTCTGGCCATTGAAATGCAAAAAAAGTGTGCTTAGGTGTGTTTAGATGTGTTTACACACGTTTAGGTGCGTTGTGGTGTTTTTTCTGCCAAAATGTTCCTCCTTTGAATGCACAAGTGATGGGGAGTTTTTTTGCCTCTAAACTGCTGTAGACACCTATGTATACCTGGACATAGAGGGGCCTTTGAGCTCAGGTGTGCATGAGGTCTTATGGAAAGGAAATACACTGCAAACAGGCATTTAAAACAAATGATTTGGTGCATTACCTGGTGACAGGGTCTCTTTATTATTATCTCTCTCTTTTTTCAGGTAGTGCATTCCTTTTGAAGCTTGTCAGATGAGATAGCCAGTCTCCTTTACTCCAGTAGTCTTTGTATAATAGGTGAATTTTGGTAAACTCCAGATTGCCTTTTCGTTCAATGCCTAACGTAGAGGCTGACAGAGAAGCTAATGGTTCTGGCAGAAACGAGGAGAAGCCTACAGAGAAATCTGAGAAAGACAGTCTGCAAACCAATGTGAAGACCTACAATGTGGGAAACTTGGGACCCGCTAATGACCGTCATCCTTGGGGATGTCCAGTGACTCACACAAGAGAAAAGTTCTATACCATATGTTCAGACTATGCGTTCCTAAACCAAGCAACATCTCTGTGCAAAACATCCAGTTCTGCTAGCAGTACAAGTTCCCAAGAGAAACCCAGCTTTAACAACTCATTGAATTACATAGATCTGCCAGCTAGTGCTTCTGATAGCATATATAATGAGGATACCAGCTTGGACTCTTTATCTAGTGATGTTGGGACATATCCTCTTGCCTGGGAAATTGACACATCTGACTTTAACACAATGACTACAAAGTTAAAACCTAAAACAGGTAAACGGTTTTCCTGTTCTAATAGAAATAATTGCACATTTTCTTTATTTTGTGTAACAAAAAGAATGAAAATGACATGAACGCACATTACAAATAAAGGGTCGGTCATGGAGGGCCTCCTTGTGCCAGTCTTGCATAGACAAATAAGGGTCAGTGCTGGACAAATGCTTTAGCAGTGCAAAAGTGAATGATCAGTGTAATCATCACTAATATGAAGTCCCTCTCCAAGATAAAGATCATTTTCCCCTCCCTCTAACTGATTGCTGTATGAAAAAAAACCTATCTAAATGCCCCTTTTAATTTACCTTAAGGCTCCATGTACACGGGACCTTTGAAAAACACTTCTGAGTGCTGGAAAAACGTAGGTTAAAAAACGTCTGTTTAGCCACATTTGCATACCGCGTTTATGTGCATTTGCGTTTAGAAGCATTTTTTAAAGATAACATCAGGAAAACCTTCAAAATTCCCAGAATGTACTGAAAACCATAAAAAAATTAACTATTTCAGACATTTTGAGAGGAATAGAGAGAGCAGAAGCAGAGAGAGCAGTATATGTTGAGATTACCGATCTTTTCTGGTTGTATTCACTATGGATCCCATCATGAACATAATGCAGCACGTTTCACCATTTGTTCCTTCACGCAAAACCTGGAACTGACTGCGCTGGTATACCGGGTCCATTTGAATACATGGAAAACGCTTTGCATGCATTTCTGATTATGAAAAAAGGCTCTGGACAGCATTTGGATATGGAGCAGTTAAAAAACACTTATAAACGCGGTTAGCCACGCTTACAAGCATTTGAAACGCTGATAAAATCTACTCCTGAACGTAAGTTTGGTGCGTTAAAAAAAACGACTGTAAAATCAACTGCCTGTAAAGGACTATGTGTACATGGACACATAGGAAAAAATTAGGGAGAGTCCAGGGGCTGCTGAAAAAAACACAGAAAAGCTCCTGAACGTGAGTTTATCAGCTGCAGTGTACATGGAGCCTAAGTGGCAATCATGAGATGCTGCAGCCCCGAGCCTTCTCTTCCATTTACTTCCTGGTTGAGTCCTTCGAGTGTCTACATCATTGCCTGTGTGACTTGAACAACACTTCCCATTGGATGTCCAGCAGTGGGGGTCATTCAGAAAAGGATTGACATCAACAGAAAGAAGTTGAGGAGACTGGCTCTCGGGCGCCATTGCAGTGCTGGATTAGCGGTCCCTTGTAACTGGGACTGCCAGTGGTGAGGGACCTGGACAGGGAACTTAGGTGAGTATTGCTGGCTTCACCAGATAAAAAAAAAAAAAAACAAACAGGATGGGTTAGAACAGCATTTCTCGACCTCTGCAGTTTCGGCACTCTTTAAAAGTATGCAAAATCCCAAGGCACCCAAGTCTAAAATGTAGAAAACGTAAATGTTACTTATTAATAGGAAACCTGAGCCTGGGTCAATGTACACAACTTCCTGATGAAATGAACTTTAAATCAAAAGTCCCCCATCACATCAGAGGCCCTCCACCCATCATGGTTAGAGTCCTGCCTTTTGCCTCCAGCAGGGTGGCAGAGGGCAGCAGGTGTGAAGGGGCCAAACTTTCATCCTTTCCTAAATGTTGGGGTGGCCCTGCATACTACCTGCCCTGGATCAACACCATGAGTTGCCATGGGCTAGCCACCAGCACCATAGCAGCGTACTGCTCATCTGCACCCAGGCAACTCAAGACACTGATCCAAGGCAAACTGCTCGTGGCACCACTGAGTTAGAGGAGGGAAGTAGAGGTAGTAAAAAGCTAGTTTTTGTCTGTAATGGGGTTTGAGTGATATTTCTGGCTCATATCATAAGTTAGTCACAGCCTTACTTTACTGCAGAAGGATAGAGCTGTGAAGCCATCATGGCTGATACCTATGCAATTTCCAAACTTCAACAGAGGGATACAAGGTAATACGTGTGATTTATTTTTCTAGTGTACTTACTGTTTTTTTTCAATTATTTATGTGAGTACTTTTTGTAAGTCTTCACTTCGTCTGTTCCCTTTTGATCTAGGCGTAGCTAAACAAACTCCAAAGAAGAAGCCTGACAGAAAAGTGAAGCCACTGAGGGAATGCACACAACACTTCATAGTGGATGAGATTAAACAACGTAAAGTTCTAGATCTACGAAGATGGTACTGGTCCCTTAACTGTTACAATACTTTACAAATTTTACAATACAAAGTTTGGAATGCTATTTTAAGTGACCCTTAAAAAAAAACATCATATAATAAGGAAGCTTTAATGAATCCTTGAATCCTCAATAGCCTTCACATATCTATTTTCATCTTCAGGAACACTCCAGAACTTCCATACCCTGGGGTGATCTGAGATGCAATTCTGAATCTTTACTGAGAGAGTCATGGGATAGCCAGTTCCTTCTTGCCTCCCATAGCTCCCTTTTTGATCTTCGGTGTGATGGGCATCCTCAGTGTCCAGTAGGGAGTTGTGGGAGGTGAGAGTGAGCTCACCAAGTCTCAGTTTTCTTAGCAACAGTGGAGATTTGCATATTGGAATGCCCTGAGGTTTGTGGTTTCTGTGGTGTTTGAGTTATCATATTTTCATGTTTGATTTAGTGGATGTTTACGTAATAATTTTGTTACTATTACATTTTATGATAAAGTATTAATTTTTGACATGCCACACACTGGCCCATATGTAACCGTCTTGTGACCATATCTGCAGCTATTTGAGTTTCTTTTTCTGAAGATGAGGAGCATGCCTATGGAGGTGCCCTTTCGTTAAATAAAAGTATCAAATAAAGAGAGGAAAACTCTGATGAGACCAATAGCATTCTAACATGTTAAAAATTTAATACAATTAATTTTGATGTTAGTACAGGCAGTCCCCGAGTTAAGTACATTCGGCTTACGTAATACTCATACTTACGTACACTTCCCTCGGGACCGGAAGTCAAGCTGTCAGCATTCTTGTGCAGCAAGCTGATAAGAGACTAGCTGATAAGAGACATCAGAGAGACATAAGAGACAGAGACATCCATTGCTCGTTACTTGTGGGGCTAGCAGTGTCTGCCCACTATCTCCAAAGTGATTTAAGACTGTCTGTCTGCACCTCCGGGGAGAGGAAAGGAGAGGCTGTCAGGCTGCTCACTGAAGTGATCCTCCGTCTGTGCAGGGGGGAGGGGGCAGCGTGTGCTGTGTAAAGGAGAGCAGAGTTCTCTCATACAGTACATTACAGTACAGTGTAGTTTAGCCAAGATAGTTTAAAGTTGTACTCTACACTGTACAAGAGTTTACAGTATAATATTTGAATGTTGAATTTGATGTTTAAACATTTACATGCACATAAAAGTTAAATATGTTAAGGCAAACATGTGTCCAAGCTGCAGTTCTTATGCAAAACACCAGTTTAGAGCCTCTTGAGGTTTTACTGCTTTCTGTAACCTTATTACAAAAACGTAATCTAATATCCTGTCGTTTGGTTAGTAGTTAGTGCTTATAAAAGTGCCTGATTCAACTTATGAACAAATTCGACTTATGAACAAACCTACAGTCCCTATCTTGTACGTAACCCGGGGACTGCCTGTAGTAAAATTTTGTTGTATCGAGTTAGCTGTTAGTGTTAAAAGGGAAATGTAGTGTTGAAGTAATGCATATTTTTTGACTGAGCATTAAAGTCTGTGTAGCTTTCCGTTCAGATCAAGCGCCTGTTTCATAACATATGGTGTTTGGAAAAGGCTTCATGTATCTTTACAATCTGTATAAATATTCTTACACGGTATGTTATGTCTTTTATACAGAACACATTTGTCTTTCCAGGTATTGCATCAGTCGGCCCCAGTATAAGACGTCCTGTGGTATTTCCTCTCTAGTATCCTGCTGGAACTTTCTGTATAGCACTCTGGGATCAGGAAGGTATATTGTACCAAGACAAGTTATATCTACCAGGAAATTTAGGAAATGCAGAAATCTAATTGAAATCCACAAATATCAGTCATACACTCACCAACCACTTTATTAGGTACACCTAGCTAGTTCTGGGTTGGACCCCCTTTTGCTTTCAGAACTGCTTTAATTCTTTGTGGCATAGATTCAACAAGGTGTTGGATACATTCCTCAGAGATTTTGGTCCATATTGACATGATAGCATTATTATCATGTACCTGGTGATGGAGGCCCATGGAGAGAGGGCTTCCTTTGCAGCTAAGTTCCAGACTCCCCTGAGAGTGGGACAGCTGGAGTCAGGCCCAAAGTTGCACAGGTCGCCTGTAGGAGTGCTGGTTGGTTTACTCAGAAGCACAGCTGGTGCACAGAGATAGGTCTGCAGACAGGAGGCACTTGTGCGTGGTATGTAAGCCCTTCCGGAATTTAGATGTTTACCGGGTAGTCGGTTCAAGCCAAGGTCAGGTACCAGGTGGGAATCAGAGCAGACGTAGTTAGATGGGATAGCCGAGGTCATACACAGAGGAGCAAGAGAGAGAGAGAGTATCCATAAGCCAAGCCGAGGTCAGATCAGGGGTAAAGCTGAGTAGACAGGTCCAGGAGCAAGCCGAGTCGGTAACAGGAAATCACAGGTCAAAATCACAGGAGCCAGGAACAGGGCATGGGCTGCTAGAGATCATCCAGCAACTTGAGGAAGTTATGAGCCTCCTTATAAAGGCCGTCTGGCACCAAACTGAGGCTGATGTGTGCTTCTGCGGCCATGCAGAATACTGGCAGAAATGCCAGATCTTCCAGAACTTCTGCCGTGGACAGGACCCTGACAATTATGCAGTTTCTGCAGATTTGTCAGCTGCACATTCATGATGTTAATCTCCCTCTCCCACCACATCCCAAAGGTGTTCTATTGGACTGAGATCTGGTGACCATGGAGGACATGGTGCATTATCCTTTAGATAGGTACACTGTAGTCATAAGGGGATGGACATGGTCAGCAACAATACTCAGGTAGGCTTTGGCATTTAAACAATGCTCAATTGGTACTAGGGGGCCCAACCACCACCAGCCTGAACCGTTGATACAAGGCAGGATGGCTCCATGCTTTCATGTTGTTTATTTCAAATTCTGACCCTGCTATCTGAATGTCGCTGCTGAAATCGAGACTCATCAGGCCAGGCAACATTTTTCTAATCTTATATTGTCCAGTTTTGGTGAACCTGCGCAAATTGTAGCCTCCGTTTCCTGTTCTTAGCTGACAGGAGTGGCACCCGCTGTGGTCTTTGCTGCTGTAGTCCATCTGCTTGAAGGTTCGATGTTTTGTGCATTCAGAGATGGTATTCTGTATACATTGGTTGTGATACGTGGTTTTTGACTTACTGTTGCCTTTCTATCATCTTGAACCAGTCTGTCCATTTTCCTCTGAGCTCTGACATCAACATGGCATTTTCTTCCACACAACTGCCGCTCACTGGATATTTTCTCTTGATCGGACCATTCTCTGTAAACCATAGAGATAGTTGTGTGTGAAAGTCCCAGTAGATCAGCACATTTTGAAATACAGACCAGCCCATCTGGCACCAATAACCATGCCATGCTCTAGAAAGCAGGGCTTAAAATTTCAAGTGCTGAGCTACTAGCCAGGCCTTAGATTTACTCACCACCAACAAACACACACAAACAGAGACACCTGTACACACACAGACATGTACATACAGAGACATGTGCACACACGCACAGAGACACATGTACACACACACACACACATACAGACACATGTATACACACACAGGCACATACAGACACGCATACACACAGATACATGTACATACACAGAAATACACAGACACATGTACATACATACGCAGACACATGTACACACAGACACATGTACGTACATACACACAGACACATGTACACACACACATACATGTACATAAACGCAGACACATGTACAGACACACACAAACACACACCAACATACACCCCCCCCCCCCATAAAAAGTTGCAGTACTTCGGTGTTCACTCACAGATCTGGGTACTGCACTCTAGGGGGAGGCAGAGAGCACAGCACACACTCCTTGCTTTGCTTTCACTTCGCTCAGCTATTAAGCAGTCGTACAGCTCTTAGTGCCAATGACAGGTCTGGCCTGAGCTCCAAGCCTGCTCAGCAAGACAGCCCTGGGGGACACACTCGCCCCCACCATAATTTCCACTCGCCATTGGCGAGCAGGCGAGTGGAAATTTCAAGCCTTGCTCTAGAGTCACTTAAATCTCCTTTCTTCCCCATTCTGATGCTCACTTTGAACTTCACTGCATCTAGATGCCTAAATGCATTGAGTTCCTTCCATATGATTGGCTGATTCGCAATTTGTGTTACCCAGCAATTGAACAGGTGTACCTAATAAAGTGGCCGGTGAGTGTATATTTTCTTTAAATTCAGAGTTCATAATAAGGAAACTTGTAAGTAGAGATTAAAGGCTAACTTCAGGTTTTATTGAAGTTTAAATAGTTTGATTGGACCAAGCTGGTCCAAGTGAACTGTTTGCTTCACAAACTGTTTCACTGTATAAACTGTATGTAGCTAAGTATTCATACAGTATACAGCACTGTGTTTCAGCAGCGTGATGAGAACTTACCATCCTGTTCCCAAAACAAAATTGAGTCAGACTGAGCACTGTTTAGTCATTCACAGTAAGGAAGATTTGTATTCTATGATGGAATAAAAGTCTTCAGATTGGTTGAGGCAGAGATCATGACCTTATCCACTCGCTTTTCAATTCAGCAAATCAGAAGAAACTTTTTATTCTTTCATAGAATACAAAGTTCTCTGTGAATGGATGAGCAGCAATTCAGTTCGACTCGATTTTGTTCTGGAAGTGGGGCAGGAAGTTCCTGTCCCACTACCAAAACACAGCCCTGTATACTGTATGTAGCTGAGACTACATACAGTTTATAAAAAGCACACACCTGCTGCATCTGTTAGTGAAGTAAATAGTTAGTTTGGACCAGTTTTGGTCTAAATGAACTGCAGTATTACTAAAACCTTGAGTTAGGCTTTAACCTTCAATGAAAACTGCATGTCAAATGATTAGAAGATCCAGACATATAGGCAGCTTCAAATATTTCCAAATCTACACTTTTCCTCTAAAGATCTAGCTTTCCCTCCCTGTTACTGATTTCTGAACCTCATTGTTGGTCACTTAATAAGGTGGTCATCCTCAGTGACCAGCAGAGATATCAGGAAGGTGGGATAGGTGTGTCAAGCTCGACTTTTACAGGAAAAATAAAGATTTGCACATAAATGGAATTGTCTGTACCCATGAAGTATTTTTAACGTGACTGAAGGTGACTTCTGCTGTGTATGCTCGATCTGAATTGCCTAGGTTCCTTAAGCAATTTCTGACCCACATAGGTAACTACTGACACCAATTATCTTTTCAGCTACTGTATCTGTAAGGGATGCATTCTTTTTACTGACCATCAATGTAAGGAGCATCCTTCTCACTGGCTATCAATGTAAGCGACATTCTTTCCACTGAGTACCAATGTAAGAGGCATTCTTTCCACTGACTACCAATGTAAGAGGCATTCTTTCCACTGGCTACCAATTTAAGCGACATTCTTCCCATTGACTACCAATGTAAGAGGCATTCTTTCCACTGGCTACCAGTTCACACTTGACCACTGAGTTTCAATGCAGGTTTTATGGCACCACATTGCACCGCTGCAAATAAAGTGCAGTGCCACATGTTGCGGTAACACACACAAGAATGTGCTTGTTCCCACATCCTAATGTATACATAGAGTTCTGTTTCAATTCAGGACACAAAAGTTATGTCTCCAAAATTAATTGGACTCTTAACAGAGTTGTATGATTTTTTTTTTCCCCACAAAGCCTCCCGCCAATCACTCAAGAAGAAGCTCTGCATATATTGGGTTTCCAGCCACCTTTTGAAGAGATTCGGTTTGGTCCTTTTACTGGAAATACCACTTTGATGAGGTCAGTCCTTCGAATTTCATTGCATTACATACAACTAGTCTCATTTTAAATCACAAGCTAAAAGGTGAAGGCGTTTTACAGATGAACTGTCATGTAATTCCCTTGTGTTTTATGCTAGGCTGCAAGCACAGTAAAACAGTAAAGAACATTCAGTAACCACAACGACAAAACACAAAAGACGCTCCTAAGTTATATGTCTTTTAACTTGTCTGGCTTTTGTCTTTTACTATGTCAGAGTGAACTGTGCAGCATAAAGTTGTGGATAAAAGTGTAAATATAGGCCAATCCTTCTCTTGGCTACCTGACAGGCTCTGTCATTATGGAAATGGCCAGGGAAAAGACACGGGGTTTGGACAGAATCTCAAACCCAGTGTCTGGGTGTTTTCAACAACCAGCAGGGTTTGTGCCCAAGTGCACACAGCTTTTGTTTAATTTGTGTATTTTTTAAAATTGTGTTTGCTGGCTGACGTTGAAACCCCAGTGTTGGAATCCTGGATGGACTTTTGCTTTGTTTTTCCCTTTTTAATAAAAGTGGGCTACCAGGCCCTCAACTATAATGCCTGTGTGATGTGGACTCGCTGTACATAAAGAGCATCTACCACTGAGCTATGCATCCCCCATATCACCATATACATTATATATTTTTTTTTTTGCTTATGCATGTTTTTTTCTGTTCATTGCTTTGACACCACGCCTGCTTTGGAAAACTGAGTATTCTCGAAAGCTTGCATTATAAGAGATTTTGCAGTTAGGCAATAAGGGGTATCGCCCATATTTTATTTTTTACTGGGCCAAGTGAGAATGTATTATAGCTGTTCTTCTATATCTAAATGTCAGTTGAATCTCTTAATGATTCTTTTTTCTAGATGGTTCAGACAAATAAATGATCATTTTCATGTGAAAGGGTGTTCGTATGTTCTTTACAAACCTCATGGAAAAAACAAGACTGCTGGAGAGTCTGGTGAGTGTATACAGTACAGTGAATGTTTTAGTGTGGGGAACGGGTCTGGGCCTAAGAGCATCCAGGATCCATAACAAAGAGGCTATAGAGGTTGGGTGAAGGTTGAAGACATCCAGGACTGTCCCTAAAAGGGCATCTATGATGGTGCTTTGTTAAATTAGAGGATGATTAAATCTGAAAATGTCTTTTAAAGATTATGTGAAACCACCAGGACCTTTTTTTATCTTGCCATTCTTGAGTTTCTTGATGTCTTGTTGGATCTCTAAGGTGGTGAAGCATGAATCAACTAGAAGAAATGTCTCTGAAACAGAAGCAGGGATACATTTAAATGAAAAACTGTGGCCTTGGAATACAAGAGAGGTGGGTGGGGTGGGGGGTGTTGGTGTGTACAGTTTAGTTAGGTGAAATCTGAATTTATGAGAGCGTTACATCTGATGTGATCTGATTTGTGTTTTTGTATTTTATCTGATTTGTGTTTTTTTATTTTATAGATTATTAAAATATAAAAAAATACAAAACATTCTAGTAAAATGTTTTGTATTTTTTTTTTTTATATATTTTAATCTATAAATGGAAAAAAATCTGTATATATTTTGCATTAAAAATCAATAATTCCTTTAATGTAAACATTGTAGTTATGCAGAGTATGTGCTTCTTGAAAATACACTTTACAACTGTAGCTCCTTTTTAAAGTGTACCCAATCTGAAAACAAAATGTAATATATTGCAGATTACCAGACCTAGTGTGTCTTCCTTAATTTTCTTTTCTCCTTTTACATCTCCATAACATATTGTGTAGGTGTTCCAAAACAGCTGAGATAAATGCCAACTATAAGGCTGCATTCACACTTGCGAATGTACTCAACAGCGTTTGCATACAATTAGCTGCTGGATGCTGTCAACTCCTAAAGCTAATTGTGGCCACTCGCATGTAATCACTGTGAAGCAGTCTCCTGACCAGTCTATCATCATCCAGGACCAAGTGATTGCTACATATCCATTACATGTGAGCAGCCACAATTAGCTGTGGGAGCTGTCAGCTTTCAGTGAGTCTGTTTCCTGTGACTAATTGGTGGGAGCCCCCACTGGTGTTCTTTCATGTAAAAGTTGTCAGGCTGATTTCCCAGGTGTGAATATAAGAATGAGGGGCTATTAGAAATGTGCAGCGGGAAGGTAGAGTCCAGCTTCCACACTACCCAGTCTGTGATCTTTGCCTGTCTGAACAGCCCAAGATTCATCCATAAAAGGTTATTGGAGGCTGCTTCAGTTATGTGCGGACAACTCTATTTACCTGCTTTTTATATCTGTAACATTTTTTTTTTCTTGGGTAAATCTATTTTAAGCATAATTCAATGTGCAAAGACTCTAAAAGGATGTTGACATACTGTTAGTAAATGGAAATAATGAAATATTTACTTAAATAAAACTCAAGACCTTTTTTTATTTTGGATAAAGTAAGGGAGTGTTCTAACACCTGTCAGTTTTACTTTTACCATTTGTACCCCATTGTCAGGGCCGTCTTTAAGGAGGGGCAAAAGGCTCAGCTGTCCTGTGCCCAATCATTGCTTTGGGGCCCAATGCAACTGCCCCATACTTGCCAACTGTCCAGGTGTACTTTCTCTTGTCCCTTGAAGTCTTCGTTCCACATTGTGTCCCAATATCTGTGTGTGAAGTGCTATCACTTATGCTGCCCAGCTCTGCCCTATGGCCAGGTACAGATGACTCATGTGTGCAGACTGTGTCATATGTAAATAACCGGAATTCATATGTAAATAGTGGTGGCAATGTGGCATTCATATGTAAATAATGGCGGAATTCACATGCTCACACAAATGTGAAATTAACCCGCACCTAAAAAAAAAACGTTTAAAATCATATGTAATTCAAATAATTAATGCTGCTGTTCATAAGGTAAAAAACCAAACATAAAAACACATTTGGTTTTTTGACACCGTTTCTTTGACTGGAACACTGTATCACAGTTTATTTGGGACAGTGGACTTTTTATTATCTCATCACTGTTGATATAATCACTATTGTTTGTTTGTTTAATTTTTGCGCTGTAATATTATTTTTACATGTTTACACATGCCTGAGATGGTCAGTGTAAATTCCCTTTTCATTGGTGGCCAGTGTAAAAACTCCTATTTTATATTAATAGCCAGTAAAAAATCCTAACTTGCATTTGTGGTCAGTGAAATCCTCCCTTACAAGGGTGGTCCGTGTAGAAGCCCCCCTTAAACTGGTGGTCAGTGTAAATTCCACCTTAGATTGGTGGCCAGTGTAGAAATGTATTGGTTGTTGGTGTAAAATCCCCCGTTACATTGGTTGTCAGTGCAAATTCCCCATTACACTGGTGGTCAGTGTAAATCTCCCCTAACATTGGTGGTCAATGTAGAAATGTCACCTCCCCACCCCCATCTAGCACTGCCACTGATCCCTTCCACCACAAGCACTGTCACTGATCTCATCCCATCCTCCCCCCCAGCACTGTCACTCCTCCCATCCCCCCCCCCCAGCACTGCCACTTATCCCATTTCCCAATCAGTGAGCAGTGTGATGTGCAGGACCTCTAGCAACCAATCAGTGAGCGGTAAGGATGTGCAGTAACCTCTAGCAACTAATAGGCAAGCAGAAATCATGTGTTGTAACCTCTAGCAACTAATCAGTGAGCTGTAATGTGCCCTGTAATATCCAACAACCAGTCAGTGAACGGTAATGATATGCTGTAATTTCCGTCAACCAATTGCAATTGCTGCCTGATCTGCTGCAGTAAGATTTTGAGTCTAGCTGCTATGTATTGTATGTCTCAGAGCAGGTGGAGAGCTAAATTGCATGATTGGTCCAGGAAAATGTTTGCCCAGGGTCCAATCAATGTTAAACATGGCCCTGCTCATTGTGTAATTTTTCCCTGCATTTCCTGTCCCATAGCCAAAACAGGAAGTTTGAAGGAAATCCCTTCAACATGAGGCAATCTGGGTTGTCCCCATTAGATTACTCCTGTATTCTTGTTCTAGTGATACAAAATTTAGGATTTTCTTTTACTTTTTGTGATGATGGTAAACAGGACAAACAAAGAGGCCGAATCTCCATAACAGGGACATAGAAGACAATAATCCCTCCCCACTCTATCCAAAATTAAAAAAGACATTTTGACTTTCGCTATATACTAATGCAATTGATTAATGTACTTTGGATTTTTTGCTACAGTAGTGAAATGAACCGGTGCAAAAATTATGTACATTAAACAATTTACATATTCTAAGAAATTATTAAAAACACTTTAAAACAAGACTTTATTCATCACAGTAGCTATAAGCATTGTGGAGAAATTAAGTGTCAAAGTTCAGAACAGTACCACTGAAATTTTTGGTCTTTTCATATTCCTGTCAGGAATGGACTCAGCACTGGTGGTGGGACTCAGCTGCCATGTGGGCTGCTGTACCAGGGCTGACCAGCGGGTGCTCCCAGCAGCCAGAAGCTCACTCCTGTAGTCAGCCAACACCTGGGGCTGATTGCAGGAGGTGTATTTAAGGAATCTCACAAGTGTAATACTTGCCACACCCTTAATACTTTAAAGCAGCAATTCCACCTCAAAGAAACCAAATAAATTTCGTAGTGCTATAACTTAAATAAAGGAATGCGCTAAAACCACATTCCTAACTTAGTGTAGAAACATTAGTGCAAAAGATATATATCTATTCTCAATTAATATCAAAAAATATCAAAATTATGTGCAAAACTATTTTTTAGTGCATAAGTAATTTAAATAATTAAATTTGTGAATATAAAAATTGTCCAATTCTGAATTTCTTCAAATGTCCAAACAAATCCTTTTCAAATTCAGGTGCTCTCAAAGAAATTGTGCCAAAATCCACCACCAAAGTAAAGTTGGGTAACTCACCAGAGCTCCATGCTGATCAATCTCTAGATCAGCAAAAAAAACGCTTTTTGCTCTGGGAGCAGATGCAATAAATCAACTTCTCAGGTGTGATGATCAATACCTACACAATCATCCATAAGGTAGGTATCCACCACTCAATATAATGGTTCCAGGAGCATTATATCACTCTCTCTTTTTATATCTCTCCACCGAGGTCATGTTTGGGAATGAAAGAAAAAATCATGGTGCAGCCAGTTTTTTTTATAAAAAGTATCCAACAATTTAATAAAGATTTACACTCACAAAAAGGGTGTCTTCACCGACACCAGTATAACAGCATAAAACAGCAAATGGTATAACAGTCTCCTGTTCCCCGCACACTCACTACAGCGCTCGTGACTCAATCCTCTCCACAGACGTCAGCATCCAGCAAGCCAAGCCCTACTAGTTTCGTCATGAATGACGTCCTCAAGGGGCGGTTTTGGTGTATGTTTCCCATGAGCCCCTGTACCTGGTATCCTGTGTTCCTGCCTCGTTGCTGACCCTGCTTTGATCCTGACCTGCTGACCGTCTCCCGTTGAACCCCTGGCTTGCCTGACCATCCTTCTGCCTGATCCTCTGTACCGCGCAGCCCGCTAATTGCTGAACCTGGCTTGTGACCCCGACCATTCTCTGCTTGCTCCTCCTGTACCACGCTGCCTGCACGATACCTACCCGGCCTGTCTAACTACGCTTACTTCACCCGACCATCCATCCCGCACGGATCACCTTTAGTAAGTCTGCCTGCCTCTTCCCATCAGACTCTGTTCCTGCACTCCCCTGCCAGTACTCTCTACCACAGCCGGACACACTCAGGGGTCGTGACTTGGTTCCAGTCTGCACCAAGTCCATCCCCACCATCAGGGGCCCTGGTGAATAGCAGGCTGGAACTTAGACCCTGCGCCCTGTGGAAATCCGTGCTGTGGGCTGCTAGAGACACTGCCAGGTGGCACCTGACAGTACCTTATGGCCTGCCTGACCATTCCACCTCTCCAGCCTGACTACGCCTGTGTTCCTGAAGCCTGCTACTTCCCTGTGTCAGTCCACACATTTCTGGTCATACCCGGATCCCTAACAATTCCTTTCTGTTGGTGTAGAATTTTGGCAGCCTGCCAGCTTCCTAATGTAAACACACAGCAAATGTCTGTAAGGCTGCATTTACACCTGACGGCGCTATATGTGTTGTGCGTATTAGTATGACAGCCCATTGACTTAAATGGGTTGTCCGTCGCGCAAAAAAATGCTCCAAAGAAGCACATACACCAAATTTACCACTAAACTAATTAAACATTACTTAAGGCTAGGTTCATACTTCTGCGGGTGTGGGACTGAGTGTAAATCCTTTGGACACTAGGGGGTTTATTTACTAAAGTTGGTTCACTAAGAATCTCATTCACTTCTGCATAGAAACCAATCAGCTTCCAGGTTTTATTGCTAAAGCTTAATGGAACAAGCTGAGGTTAGAAGCTGATTGGCTACCATGCACAGGTGCACGAGATTCTGAGTGAACCAGCTTTAATAAATCAACCCCTAGGTGTAGCAAAGTATAGATTTTTCTAAATATTTCAAACATTTGTATGGTTATCCAAATGTAAAGAAGGGTACCGGCACATAAATACTGTTTTTTAGTAAATTAATGCATGGATTTGGAGTTGAATCTGGATAAAGTATTTTGTGACATCACAGCATTTCTCTATATAACATTTATAAATTAACTTTTCACAAATGCACCAACCTCATTTTCTGGACAAATACATCTTTGTGCTGACCATGTATATTATTCTTAAGATGACCGTTTACATGTCATTGCTTTCATGAGATCTTTTCTGTAAATATTCTAGATTTTACATTTTATTATAAAGCAGAATTTTGGGCAAATTTAAATTTTTTTTATTTTTTGCCTGTGCAGTGGAGCTGTGCCCACATTGCATGGGTCAACTGTTTGTTCTGCTCTAGGGGACAGAAAAGCAGAGATATACACACCTGATCCACCAATCCTCCCTGCACAAGACCAGTCCCTTCGGCTCCTTCCCCCCCCCCCCCCCCCCTTTCGGTCCAGCAGTCTTGTAAATGGACTGTTCCTGACATCAGCACACTCAAAGCATGCTCCATAGACCGGCACAGTCCACCGCTGGACTATGGGGGGAGCGCTGTTTTCAGGAGGATCGGCGGGTCAGGTGAGTATGAGCTTTGCGCTCACACCTAGAAAAAGCGAGCAGCTGATCCATGCAGTGGGGCTGTGCCCCCACTGCATGGTGAAAAAGATGTTTTGACCGGAGTTCTGGTTTAAGGTTGAATTGCGGTCTTTTGTTTAATTAAAATAGTTCTGAACTCTAAAGGTTTTTTTATCTTAATGCACACGGCTTGCAGAAGAGGTACCCACAGGAACAGTGCCAGTGGGGGACTCCAGAAGAAGAGGTAATGGACTGTTGTGTGCAATACCATTGCACAGAATAGGTAAGTATAACTTCTTTTGTTTTTTTTTTGTTTTTAAAAACCAGAAAAAATTAGTTTACATGTACTTTTAACTGTACATACAAAACACCACCCTTTTTGAAAACAGTGTTACACAATGCTGTCAGCAATCTGAAAGTTTCAGTGAAGCACTGAGGCCTATATACCGTCAACTGTATGATTCTTCTCTATCTGTAGGTTCCAGGTGCCCACCCATTCAAGTTTATCAGGATGCGGGGGCTCTATGGACACAGGCGCTTTTCCTAATGTGACCGATGTTTGGATGTCAATGAGCAGCCCTGAACACACAAAGACTGCGTTCAGGGCCCTTTCACACTCACCAGAATGCCTGTCACAGACACGGTACCCTAATAGACTTGAATGGGCTTCCTGCATGCAGCCGTGTGAAGTAAAGAGTATAGTAATATTATAGAGAGGTAGATTTCAGAGAATTATACTAGCTATGGTTTAATTACACATACTGAATTTCTGAACCCCTTCCCTGACTGTCGTATTTCTTTTTGGTGTGCTTAATAAATGCATTTCTGTTTTGACCTGGTTTCCCGTTTATGCCTTTCAGCTGCTGGAGCTTTATCAAAGTTAACTCAGGGCTTGAAAGATGATTGCATGGCCTATATTTACCACTGCCAGAATCATTACTTTTGCCCTATTGGATTTGAAGCCACTCCAGTAAAGGCTTGTAAAGCATACAGGTGAGTAGACTAAGCTCTCGAAGTACTACATTCACATGATTATCTATAATCACCATATTACAGGTAGTTGCTGTATGTCAATTTGTGAAATAGTAACCAAACACTAAGGGCTGGTTCACACCATATGCAGTGGAATTGCGTTGGGCGGCTATTTCAGCGCAGTCCCACCACATGGACAAGGCAAAATGCCTTGTCCCCTATGTGTCCTGTTCACACCACTGCATTGCGTTGATGTGTGGGCATGGTGTTTTATCAGTGCAATGCAGGGTAATCCACTGCCTCACACCATGTGGTCGGCAGTTGAACTTTGAGAGGTCTGTGTGACATCTCAATAAAGTCCAGTTAAACAAAAAAAAACTGCACGCTGATCTTGGCCCCACAGCAATCAACAATGGCCGCTGTGTTGCATTTCAGCAGCTGGTGTGTACTAGCTCTAAACCTATATTCAAAAAAAATCATTAGAGCAGCATGGAGACTGCTATTCCTGATCTGTACTCAAAATGCCAGGTGCCTGGCTGTTATGTTGACCTAATGGCTTCAATACGTTCTGAACTGTACACTGTGAAAGATAATGTTCTTAATACTGTTTTACTAACAAATATATTTCTGTTCTAGGGGTCAGCTGTTCCAACATGAAGTAGAATACTGGATACTGATAGGAGAGCCGAGCAGAAAACACCCAACAATTCACTGTAAAAAGTATGTTAGCCATTGACTGGCAAATCAAATTGGGTTTTGTATAAGAGACTTTTTTTTTTTTGTTTGTTTGTTTTACAGAACAACCACTGAGTGAGAAAAGCAGTTTTCACAAATAACATTTAAATTCTATTTTCCCAAACTACAGTAAGACCATAAAAGGAAGTATTCGGTTGCTTGCTGGGGCAACTAGAACTGTTCTTCCATCAGACACTTCCTGTGCAATAATTAACAATAAGGTATAACAAGCTTCAGGTTCACCCGAGCAGGTATATCAAACAAACATATCCAGAATTAACATAAGCACAGTTAAATTTAGCTAACTTCTCGAATCTGGACCGGTTTAAGGGTATTCATAGTTGATCAAGTTCCAATGGACTATTTTTCTTAATGGCGATTATGACCAAACAAGTATGAGAGGAAAACAAAGAGAAAGGAGGTGAGGAGGAAAGAGAGTAGGTAGAAGGAGGGGAGGGGAAAGAGTCTCCATGGACCCAGGAATGTCTCAGTCGTCATGCTTTAAATGGCCTAAACTGGCCGGATGCAAGAAAGGTAAAGAATAATTGATCCAAGGTTTTCATCAAACACTTTGCATGAGGGTCTGTATATTTTAAGACCACCTTACTTTGAAATACAGAACTAGAACATTGTGCAGAAAAAAATGTTTACTATGTGAAATAATGGTAAGATAGCTAGGAGACCACAGTTTTAAAAAAAAGAACTCTGCCCTAAGGCTAAATGCACACCTCTTCATTTTTCCCCCAAATGTGTTTTCCATTGAAATTTTATGAAAACACATCACACCTCGTACACCGTAATCCAGGGGTGTCCAAACTTTTTTCAAAGAGGGCCAGATTGGATGAAGTGAACATGGTGGAGGGCCGAACATTTTTCCGAACATTCTTTGAACCATTACAATTAAATGCAAATAAATTATTTTATGCCAAGTTAATTGCAAACGACATACTTTTCATTTCATAACCTTAAGATCAACTGACAGCTGAGTTTTCACAATGTATTGAAAATAAATTAAAAAAAAACTTACCTGCACTAATGCGAAGGGTGAAAAAGGTAGCTGGAGCTGAAGTCTCTGCTCGGCAGCCGGGAGGGGAAGAGAAACACACTTCACGCTGGAAGCCTGGCCCTGACGTCACCGCCCTCTGTCGCTCCCAGCGCGGCACAGTCACGCATGCGCACTGCTCTCAAGCAGAAGACTGTCTGCCACAGAAGGGAGGGCCGTGCGACAGCCACATTTACACAGACCAGGGAGAATGCGCCGCAGTCAGGCATGCGCACTGCCCTCTGCTTTCAAGCAGAAGACTGTCTGCCATAGAAGGGAGGGCCGTGGGAGGGCGACATTACACAGAGCAGGGAGGGCTGTTGGAGGGCCGTATTAAACCGACCCCCGGGCCGTAAATGGCCCGCGGGCCGGACTTTGGACATGCCTGCCGTAATCCTACATGTCATCGTACCTCAACATATGTTGTTGTTTTGATGTTTCTATTTTAAGGGAGAATACATGAAGCAAAATGTCTGTTACATTACTCTAAATGTGACTGTAGCATGATGGTAAGGCTGTGCACAAAATTATCCTTTTATACTTTTCTGAAAACTAGGTTTACATTTTTTTTTTGGTGGAATTACAAAATAATTTGCCATGCATTTGTATCAAATCGACATAAAAATGTTTTCTATTGAAACCATTTTACAGCTTTATATAAATTATGTTCTATAAACATAGTCTGCAAAACAAAGTTGAAGTTTTTATTTTTATTTTTTTAGTACAATTCATGTAATTTTCACTTTTTTTTCTGTCTGCTATGAATATTTAGAAAACTTGTAGCCTGTTGTCCTTACATAAAAAAATCTTCAAGTAAACATAAAATGCTTTAAATAAAAAGCCCATTTGCTGCATAAGTGTGTGTGTTTTATTAATTTTCTAGATGGACAGACATTGTTACAGATTTGAACACCCAAAATCCAGAATTCTTTGATATTCGGCACACTGAAAGGGGCCTACAATACAGAAAAACTAAAAAGGTGAGTCCTATTACTCTTTTATACATCTACAATAGAACAAAGTTGTAGTAACTATTGGGGTAGATTTACTAAAAGTGGTGCACACAGAATCTGGTGCAGCTGTGCATAGTAACCAGTAATAGTAATCCGCTTCTGACTTCAGCTTGTTCAGTTGCGCTTTGACAATAAAACCAGGAAGCTAATTAGTTACAATTCACAGCTGTACCTAATTGTGTGTGCATCAGTTTGAGTAAATCAACCCTATTGCCATATATGTAAGGGCCATGCCATTTTCCTGCTGTTGAGAGGTTCACAGCTGTTTCCCGTAGCTTCTTCATTGTGTACGTTTTAAATCACATTATCTCTGCCATTGATATAAAGTGAATGTTGATAAATTAGGGGAACCTGTGTTTTTAGATTGAATCATGGATACGGGAAAAAAATACCAGTGCATACGTTGGTAGTCACATCCCTAATAAAATGAAGATAGTTACAGAGAGGCAGACAGAGGAGAGATTTCTGGTTAATAAGTTTTAAATACTTTCTTGAAGTCCATTGAGGGATATGGGAATTCAGAAACAGTTGGTTTATACTGCAGCCTACAGAAGTTTGGGACACTGGCACACAGAAATGTTGTTAGCCACTCCCGTATAACCCTCCTCTACCCAGCATCACTCAATTTGGTTAGCAAGCAGTACACAGGGCAAGCAAAAGACAGAAGGGCGGGACTTGTGTCCATCAGTGAACTCCAAAAAAGAGATTTTATGGTAAGTACAAAAATCCTATTTTTGTTTCTTATACATTAAGAGAAATAGGAATTCAGAAACAGTTGGGACATCCAAAAGCAGTGCAGCTGAGCTGGGTGGGCAACAGTAACTGACTGACCCAAGAATTGTGGGAACCCTCTGTAACTCAAAACTAATTGAATGCCCAAACTTGGGACAGATGGTAAAGCCCTAGCAAGAAAGGAATTGCCATGGCCAAGTGGAAGCTACAGAGGATCAAACTGGTACTTTAGACCTGGGCACAGCCAAGGGAAATGACACTACATAAAGAATACTTAGCCAGTGAGAGGCTGTGAGAACCAATTAGCAATCCACCCAAAACAGTTGGAGCAACACAAAAACCCAAAAGGAAGGAAAACTCGACCAATAACGAGATGTGGTCAGTGGAAAAAGTCACTAGGAAAATCCCAAGGTAACTGGTCCCCAAGGACCAGTCAATAAAACAAGAACAACTGGTCAACATCAGAAAGCCCAAGCTTTATATTCCTAACCTTTAGGATTCAGGGTAAAGAAGTTGCCTGCTCAGAAGGGATGGCACTGAGGCATGCTTAGAACCTCTGTGGGCAGAGTGCTCCAGTATCTGAGCACAAACTGTCAGGAAGTCCATAGTTGACATGGAGGTCCCTGTAGGCATGGGGGAGGCTTTCACCTTACTCACGAGGTTGTAGTAGACTTCAGTGAGGACAACTCTCTTGTATGTGAGGGAAAGCTTCCCGTACAAACCTAAGCAGCTTGTGTCATTGAAGGTTTCAGACAGCCAGGAGTGACCAAGTCACATAACCATTATCAATAGGATAATACTGCTCTATGCTGGCAGAATGGATGAGAAGCAGACATGGAGCTTCTGGTCCACAGCCCTAAGTTGCTCCTTGTACTTGTTGGTGTAGATTAGGTTAAAAAAGCTGAGTTTTGTGGTGAGTAGTTTGTAATGTACAGTTGCCTTGTACCTTTTTAGAATAGTCATTTTTTTTTTTTCTTTGGAAGTAACAGTCCGAGGTTCACAGTTATAGTTCTTTGACAGTTTCAATACAAATTTGCAGAAGAACTCCGCATGTGAAGCCTATAACCAGCATTTCTTTCTCAGTTTCTCTCCCTCACACAGCATGATCTTGACAGTGGAAAAGAGGCTGGTAAGGTTGGTGGGATTGGGGGATAAGACCTAGGATGCTGTGCAGGTGCCAGAACTGCTCCTTAGCAACCAATGACCTAATCTGTTACTAGGACATTGGCAGACAGGATGTAACAACCTGTGGCTCTTTGTAAAATGAAGTAAGCTTGATCCATCTACTTACCTTCTGTTGGGGCAGTTTTTAGGCATTTTGCCATAGCACCCTTGAAGATTCCAGACAGCACTCCATGGTGCTGCAGCATCCTAGTTGAGAAAGGCTGCTCTAGGCTGAATGATGCAAAAAAGTACAGAGTGCAGGCACATGCAAAACTCCACTTTTCAGATTGTCAGCCTCAGCCTTAACCCTCACCACTGTGATAAATGAAATGGTGCATTTGCTACTTCAGCTTGACTAGCCTGACTCACTAAATGAGCCCTCAAAGATGGGTTCTCACCTGGCACTGTGCCAAAGCTCTGGACCCAGAAAGTGTTTTGTGGTTAAAACAGTACACCAAGTGCATAGCCCAGTGGTGAAATGTCATAATCCAGGCTAGTCCTGCATGTGTCAGTTCAGCGGGATCTAGGTATGGCCTCTAAAGCTACTGCTGAGGAAAGGTCAACTGGATAGCTGCTATGTAGTGACCGGGTCAAAGAATCGTGCAACAAAAAACCCTAATTCAAGACACTGAGAAAAAAATACCACAACATTGGAAGGCTAACAAAAAAAAATATAGACCATTTTTCAGAAGAGCTTTTTCAGAAGAGCTAAAGAAAAGGGCATGTTGGGTAGATGAGGGGTTGGCTTACAGTTTTTGTTTTTTGTTTGGTTTTTTTGCCCCAAACTTCTGTAGGCAGAAGTATAACCCGAGACATACAAAGTGTAACACTGCTCCAAGTTTGTGCTTGGTCAATCCACCAGCTAGTCATCAAGCTGTAGGCTCAGCTTGCCACCATGGGTTCTATACAATATTTCAAGGATAACTGCACACTGGGTAAAGCCAACTCTTTTATTCCATCATTGTAAAAGTGTAGACAGCAACAACATCATGACAGGAGAAACAGATATACTATGATTAAGCGCATAGCATCTGTTTCTCCTGTCATGATGTGGTTGCTGTCTACGCTTTTACAATGATGGAATAAAAGAGTTGGCTGTACCAAGTGTGCGGTTATCCCTGTAATATTGTTGTATAGAACCCATAAGTATAATCCTATTGTTTTTTAATTTCTATGGCCCTTAATGGAAGACGAAAAAAAATGCATCTTGTGTGATGTGTGCTCCTTTGCATGACTTAGTGTAGGGAAGATTAGTATCCCTGTCAGCTTTTAGGTGAAAGGGGAAAAAACATTTTTATTCATCTGTTACTGCTTACATTTTTCCCCTTACTTTTTGTCTTGTGAAACCATTGTCATCAGGACAGTTAGTAAGGGAAATTCCCTCCTAACAGAGCCCTAGATAGCAGTAAACACCTGACAAGGGTTCTAATTCTTCCTCATTCTATCAAAACGAAAAAAAAAAAAAAAAGTTTTGGCTGGACATACACCTTAAGTACTGCAATCTTAAATCTTAACACACTGTTGTTTTTAAACTAATATATTTCTATAATGTAACATATTTCAGAGTGGAGGAAATCTCCATTGTATCATGGCTTTTCAAAGACTGAGCTGGCAAAGATTTGGTCCGTGGACCTTGCAGCTTGGCAACCTGAGACCTGACCCCCAACCTCCAGCTCAAACGAGAAGAATTCCTAAATCCGAAAGTGAAGATAACGTGACGAAGAAACCACATGGACGCCTGGGAAGGTCATTCAGTACTGGCTTTCAGCAGGAGCTTGCATGGAAGAGGATATGTAACGTCAATGAGAGACGAGGCAGTGGCTCCCCAGAAAGCGATACAGATGGCGATGGAACAGACTGACCTGTCACCATTGCAAATAATTATACTAGAAATGTGTGCTATTTTATCAGTTCACAGCAATAGTGTTGGAATGATGAACTTGTGTTTTAGAGGTATATGTAGCACACATGTACCTCTTTGTTATTTTTGTTTGTTTTTGTTACATCTTAGGACTACAACACAGTAGTGTAAGCTGCCCATGATGTTGAAATGCTGTAGTTATGACCGTGATACAGTATGTATAACAAAGACTTTGTTGCATACTGAATCATGGCTATGTTGCCGCAAATCCGTGAAGCTGGGAAAACTCACATGGGCTGCCTGTTAGAAAACAAATCCCTATCTAATCTAGGAAACATATGGCCTAATCTAATAAAAAAAAAAACTGTTAAAGTTATCTTTAAAGGCTGACCCCACTTTTCAAGTGTGGTTTCATGGCTGAAAGCATGGTGTGATGGGAGGAAATGGGGCAGGACAGACTTTGCAATGCAGAAGCTATCCATACCTGACACTTTAAACATAATTTTTGCCAAGATTTTTCAGTAATGACTCTCAGGTGTCTTTTTATAAAACATTTACTATGTGGATGTCTCAGCATTCACACAAAGCAAGTTATCCCTGTAATGTTTGTATTTTATGTGAAATGTAACTTTTTATGTATTTCCTATGATCATCAGCTCCATTTACTAGCCCCAATGCCAGTAAATGGCAGTGGTATTTTCCTGAAATACCCCAATCAGGAATATACTGCATTATGGCCACTAGATGGCGCAGACGATCAAAGGAAATGTATAGAAAATTACATTACAGGGATTTTTTTGCAATGTTAGTGTGAATGCGGGACATTCAGACAGCAAATTTTCTATAAATTGACCTTTTCAAGTTAATATTAAAGCCCAATTGAAGTTTAAGATTTAACTGTATATTGAAAGTGTGTAGAAAAATAGTGTTAAATAAATGGGTTACTTTAATTGGCTGGTCTAAATTAGCTCAAGCACTAGTACATATCTGTGTTTTAAGGGCAAAAAGCTACAGTGCTGCACTACTATCTACAGGTGATAATCGAAAAATTAGAATATCGTGCAAAAGTTCATTTATTTCAGTAATGCAACTTAAAAGGTGAAACTAATATATGAGATAGACTCATTACATGCAAAGCAAGATAGTTCAAGCCGTGATTTGTCATAATTGTGATGATTATGGCTTACAGCTCATGAAAACCCCAAATCCACAATCTCAGAAAATTAGAATATTACATGCAATCAATAAAACAAGGATTGTACATAGAACAATATCGGACCTCTGAAAAGTATAAGCATGCATATGTACTCAGTACTGTTTGGGCCCCTTTTGCAGCAATTACTGCCTCAGTGCGGCGTGGCATGGAAGCTATCAGCCTGTGGCACTGCTGAGGTATTATGGAAGACCAGGATGCTTCAATAGCGGCTTTCAGCTCTTCTGCATTGTTTGGTCTCATGTCTCTCATCTTTCTCTTGGCAATGCCTCATAGATTCTCTATGAGGTTCAGGTCAGGTGAGTTTTGCTGGCCAATCAAGCACAGTAATCCCACGGTCATTGAACCAGGTTTTGGTGCTTTTGGCAGTGTGGGCAGGTGCCAAGTCCTGCTGGAAAATGAAGTCAGCATCCCCATAAAGCTTGTCTGTGGAAGGAAGCATGAAGTGCACCAAAATCTCCTGGTAGACGACTGCGTTGACCCTGGACTTAATGAAGCACAGTGGACCAACACCAGCAGATGACATGGCTCCCCAAATCAACACAGACTGTGGAAACATCACACTGGACTTCAAGCATCTTGCAGTGTGTGCCTCTCCATTCTTCCTCCATACTCTGGGTCCTTGGTTTTCCAAATGAGATGCAAAAGTTGCTCTCATCAGAAAAGAGACTTTGGACCACTGATCAACAGACCAGGTCTGTTTTTCTTTAGCCCAGATAAGACGCTTCTGGCGTTGTTTGTTGTTCAGGAGAGGCTTGACAAGCGGAATACGATATTTGAAGCCCATGTCCAGGATACTTCTGTGTGTGGTGGCTCTGGATGCACTGACTCCAACCTCAGTCCACTCCTTGTGAAAGTCCCCAACACTTTTGAATGGCCTTTTCCTGACAATCCTCTCCAGGCTGCGGTCATCCCTGTTGCTTGTGCACCTTTTTCTTCCACACCTTTCCCTTTCACATAACTTTCTATTAATGTGCTTTGATACAGCACTTTGGGAGCATCCAACTTCTTTTGCAATTACCTTTTGAGGCTTTCCCTTCTTATGGAGGGTGTCAATGATAGTTTTCTGCACAACTGTCAGGTCAGCAGTCTTTCCCATGATTGTGATTCCTACTGAACCAGACTGAGAGACCATTTAAAGGCTCAGGAACCCTTTGCAGGTGTTATGGCTTAATTAGCTGATTAGAGTGGGACACTTTGAGCCTAGAATATTGCACCTTTTCACAATATTCTAATTTTCTGAGGCTGTGAATTTGGGGTTTTCATGAGCTGTAAGCCATAATCATCACAACTGACAAATCACGGCTTGAACTATCTTGCTTTGCATGTATTGAGTCTATCTCATATATTAGTTTCACCTTTTAAGTTGCATTACTGAAATAAATGAACTTTTGCACGATATTCAAATTTTTCGAGTTTCACCTGTATGTGGAAAGAGCAGTCTCAGTTAGACAAACACCCAACCTAGTCAGATCTAGAGTTCTCCATTCAGCAAAGCATATGCTGATTGATGAGCTCTATTTCTGACTTTGGAAGTGGAGGGGTCTAACTGAGATTGCTGCTTTTGCATAGATGGCAGCAGTTTTTCGCTGCAGTCTCCTGCTCTTAAACACAGTTTTTGGGGCTTCAGATAATTTAAGCAAAGAAATTTAAGTCTACGTTTTATTAAAAAAAAAAAAAAATCAGAACATGGGACAAGACTTACTATCAATATGATATGTCCCTTTTGCTGCTGGCTCCTCTTTTAGTTGAAATCTTCCTCTTCCGATTCTCCCTAACTCCTCAATCTTCAGGTGCAGTGGGGAGTTAGAGCTAAGGAATTTGTCGCAGGCAAACATCAAGAGTGCCAACTATGCCTGTCCCTTCCCTTCATAGAAGGTGTACTATAGCTTCTATGAATATGAATGTAGGACTTGTGGTTGAATAAAATGTCTGTCCGCTCCATGCACAGATAGCTTTTAATTCATAGAAGCTATAGTACAGCTTCTATGAATAGAGGAGGTGGGCAGAAATAAGGGCTTAGTCGGCTCTCCTGATGAGTGCAAATGACAGGTCCCTGTGCTCTATTAACCCCTGCTGCACCAGAAGATTACAGTGGCAGGGGTGGGGAGATCAGAGGAGGATTTCAATTAAACATGGAGCCAGCAGCACAAGGGACACATCAGATGGGAAGTGAGTCATGTCCTTGTTTTGTTTTTTTTGGGGTTTTTTTTGTTTACTAAATGTTTTCTTTAAAGTTACACATGTACATTTTACTTTTGACTGGACTTTAATGTTAGACCCTTATAAACCCAAACTGACAGGGACTTTATTCAATTCCTATGCTAGTGCACAAGCCCGACTCATCCTTTTTATTTATTTATTTTTTTAAAGGACTAATCCACTTTGTCCTGTGTAGTTTCTGTAAAATAATCCTCTGTTACTGAAATTCTGCTTATTCTAGAATATCAAAATTTAGTTCTATTCAAATTTACACATTTTTGTGTTTTAATAAATACTGTGGAAATTGGCCTTTTGAGGAGGTTTCTATATATTTATGAAAGCTTTGCTATTTGTGATCAGTTGATCTATGGTTTATAACTCCTCCAGCTATGATTTCAGGATTGTCATCCACTCATGCACTGTGACCCATTAGATATTTTGCATAAGCACATGTGTAGTAATATAATTTCAGTATTGCATTGACTTTGCCCTTGGAACACAACAGTTAAGGAGTGTAAAGAATATTATCTATATAAAATTGTTAGTAAGCATGGTATTGTATCAAGTATGTTTAATGGAATTGATCTGCATGATTTACTGACAGAGACTAAAGATGTCTCCATTCTTCATCCCCAAATCTTGTGATACCATAGGATAAGATCCTTCTTGAGGATCCTGAGGAATAATTTCTTTTTCATTTACTGATTTGTATGGGGCATTTTGTATATATTTCTGCTAGGAGATAAGATATATTTATTGTTTAACATACCAAACTGTACAGCATGTTATTAATGCTGGAAAATCTTATTTACTCTACTTAGAAAAGGAAAATGATTTTGCTTACTAGTAAAACTTATTTTCTACTTTTTATAGTTGTATTTAATTAATTGCTACTGTATCACTGATTTCTTATCAAATCCATAAAATACAAAACCCCATTCTTATGAGTGTTTTTTTTCTACATTTATTAAGATTCTGAAACATCCAGTAAGTATTTCCTGATGTTGTTTACTATTGTTTATTAATTAGAGGAGTAGATGTGGGCAATTGCTTGTATGGCATAATGCTACTGCCCAATCATATTTTCTTCCAGGGGACCACCTTTATCATCAGGAAATATTTAAAGTCATTTAACTTTTATATTCTTTTGCCTTCAATCAATTACATGCTGCCATTTGGTGGCCCAGAGCTTCAGCTGATTTAGCTCCTTCCCACTCGGCCCTATTGTAATATGACGGCCAAGCAGGATCCCTATTATCCTGGGAGGACGTCATATGATGTCCTTCCAGGATTGCGCTCCAATGGCCGTGCTCCAATGCAATCTATCACCGGCTGTGTCTACGGGACACGGCCGATGAGAGATCACTACACCGGCCTGCTGCCAGTGCCATGTAATCACTGTAACCAATCACAGCAGATCACATGACAGTTGTAAACAATGAATGGTTTCCTTTCATGCTATTTATTGCTTACAACTGTGCTGCTAGCTGTGATTGGTCACATGTACAGACTGGGCCAATCACAGCACATCTGTAGCATATGATCAGCTGTGACCAATCACAACAAAAAACTACTGAATGAATCA